TAGGGAAAGGATGTCCTGCAAAGTCCTCTGTAGTCATGTTTTCATGGGATGCATGCCCTACAGGGCAGCAGCAGGGCCTGGATGCAGGGGTGGCAAGTTTACTGTGCAGACAAGGCCTTTGACTAGAGGGGGAGGAAGGAGGCTGTACTCTGAACCCGACCAGGCCAGACACTGTGGGCAAAATGGACCTGCCCATAGCATGGGCAATACCAGGCTCCGACCTTCAGCACTTACCAGAGGTCGTTCCTGTGGGCTGTGGTCGGGACAGCACCGCAGAGGGCTGGGCCAGGCTCGTCTGCAAGAGACAGAAGGAAAGTGCCACAGTCAGTGCTGGGGCCGGGCTCCTCGATGGCAATGTGCACAAGCCTCATTCGCGTTGGGAAGCTTTCCCAGCACCCCCCTCCCCTTCCTGCAGCTGGGTTGGGATTACTGCAGGATTTCCAACCCATACTTAAGAGGGTTTAATCCTGTGCACCAGCGACTCGACGCATAATCGTTCCTGCAGCTAAGCAGTTTAGCGTGAAATCGCACAGGCCTCCTTGCCTGGCTACCCCTTCACCTTTCCTCCAGAGAGATGCCCAGCATAGGTCAGGAGCCAAGGAACCTGGCATGGTTGCAAGAACCTCCCCACATAGGAGCAATCTCCCTTGGGGCACAAGGGGACGGGAGCTGTGAGGACTTTGTTTACTTGGGGCATCTCATACCATCAGGATGATCCGACCTGCTCTTGGCCTGCAGATGTGTGGCAGGGCTGCTGCACTGTGGCGAGGGCCACTTCCCATCTGCATGACCTGAGCCCAGTTTCAAGACAAAGGCCTGGCTTGTGGCCTGGGCAGTGCCACAGGATGATGCATTGTTGGTCAAGCAGCATGGAGGCACATCAACCCTCTGCCAGACCATGGCAGGCAGCACTGGATGAGGGCACTGGAAACAGGATCTGAAGCATGCCCCATGCTGTGCTTCTGGGGGCTCATAATCTGCTTCCCCAGACCTTGCTGACAACCCCTCCATGCCCTGCAGCTACAGATAGCACCTCCGCTCCCGAAATGGGACCCTCACCACAAACAGAAGTGCAACTATGACAGCACAGTGCAGTGGAAAGGCTGACAGTGGCAGTCAGAGGGAACTCCAAATCACAGAATATTCAGGTTGGCAGGGACCTCTGAGGATCACATCTAGTCCAACCCCTGCTCAAAGCAAGATCCTCCCTATCCAAACTATCCCACATAAGTCCTTGTCTAACCTATTCCTAAACCTACACAACAACCCCGTCACACAATTAGAAGGGCCATTGCCCAAAGACACTAAGAGCCCTCAAACCTGCCCCAAGTAAAGCAGGAGAATGAGGGCTGGATGTGTCCTGGTGCTGCAAGGCTTATTAAATGCACTCAAGATACCCCAGATAGAGGCCACATTCCCCTGCTACACAGAAAGGCAAAACCCATGGTTTGCACCAGTTTGCCCATGGGGTAAAATTTATTCCTGACCCAAATGTGGCAACGGGTCTGACACTGAGTGGAGAGGCAAGACTGTCTAGCCAGGAATCTCTGCATTTAAGTCCCAGCAGGAGCACTGGCACAGCACAGTCACAATCCCCAGCACTGCTGAGAAAAGTGAAAAGCCCTGACACGTGTAGCAACAGGAGGGGAAAAAATTCCTTCCTGGCCCCACGCGGCTACCCAGAAAGCCCAGAAGCCTGGGAAAACCAAACACCCTCCACTATGCGCTGCAACCTGGGGACTGTGAAGGACTCCATACATCACATGCCCCTTGAACAAAAGAGCCTTCAAGAAAACAAGGGGGCCTCGTAAAACGGCCTCTGCTTCTGGTGTTGTTCACTACAGCATGTGAAAGTTATGTGATCACAAATGCACACACCCTCTCCTACGTCCCTGTGTGCTATTCTCTCTTCCCAGGTGAAGAGTACAGACACTGAGTGATATGCTCAAAGCCACACAAAGTCTGTGGCAGATGAGGAAACTACTAGGGCTGCCGGAGGTGTAGGGTAGAGCCCAACCCATGGCACTGTCCTTCCATGTCCCGAATACCATCACCACACTAGTAAGACTAGCTCCCTTTCCTGAGGGCCTCTCACCATTGGCCCCATGCCTACAAACTCAGGGGCTGTCAAGAGGAGGGCCTCAGCTGATCTGACCTATCAAACCAGGGTAGGCCTAAATCAAGGTGTTGCTTAAAGCAATGGCAGCAGCTGCAGCAGCCTGTCTACCCTAGGGCCCTCAACACAGTTCCACCAGTGCCAGCAAGCCAGGCTTAGCAACAGAGAGGTGGTTTTAAAAAGTCAGTAGCACTAGCGCAGCATGGCTGGGCCCCTCTGAGCTAGATCACATAAGCACTGAGTGCCCAGGGGCCAGACGGGCTTCAATCCCCAGTATTGAAACCTGTGCAGCACACTACCCACAGGACCCCATGATAGTTCAGACTGCCCACCCAGGCTGCACTCACACCTCCCGGCATAGCACCACCTTAGGGAGTCCGAACCTGCACAACTGCCAGGCTCCAGGGACTGCTGTGAACGCTATGGGAGAGCTGCCAGGTGGGGGCATTCCCAGGGGCAAAAGTGTGAGCCCCTCATGCGCAGGCTCTGCCAGCCAAAGCTCACCTCAAGCATAGAGGGCATGGGGACGCTGAGCAGCAGCTCATTGAAGCCAGGCATCCTGTGCAGTGTCAGGCACCCTGCCAGGCAGCCACGCTCCATGCCTGTCAAACAGCAGAGGTCCCTTGGGCCTCATCACAGGAAACAAGCACCTCACAACCCTGCTTCAGCGGTCATCACCTTGGGCCGCAGACTTCTCAGCAGTGAGAGCCAGCTCTGAGCTAGGAAACCAGCTGTGCTTTTGGGCCAGCCAAATGCAAAACAGCAGCGTGAGCTCTCTGTGGGGCCAGTGTGGCTGATGGGGTTGCCCTCACTGGGCTACATGGTCACAGGACTGTTCACAGAGCTACAAGAGTGCAGCTAACCAGGGGAATAGATGAGGCAGAACTGATCATACAAGGGAGCTGGGCTGGCATGAATGAGAGATACTTTAATATTTAGCCCTAAAGCCAAGTTACAGAATGAGTGAGGGAATGGGATGCTGCCAGGACTGGCAGAGACACGACGAGCTCCTGGGGAATGTGGCTCAGCTCTTTGACGCACTCTGCACCCTTGATGGTATCATAACTCCTCCTTCCCCTCCTATGGACCTAGACAAAGTGCACTGCCCAGCCTCAGGCTTGCAGGTCTGAAGGACCTGGCATTTGTCTCACGAGCTGATGATTCAATTGACTGTGCTGCGAAATCAAATGAATGGAAGCCCCCCTGCAAAGGTAGGACCTGGAACAGGAGCCAAAAGCATGGACAGGATGCTCATGTGGTAAGCACTGGGGAAACTGCCTGAAGCCCAGGTAATCTGGGGCTCCCATATCCTCTGGGCAGCTGTCAAAACCTCAGCTGACACAGCATTCTGCCTGAGATTTAGTAACATCTGCCAGAGAAGGCCAGACTCCAACTCTGCTCACACCAATATAATTCCAAAGCAGGTCCCAGGATGGTTACTGAGAGTGCCCTGGTTTTTCCCCGCTTTGTGAGCAGAACCTGGCCTGAAAATGTGGCAGCAAAGGAGGACTGCTTCCAGGCTCCAGGGGCCCATTAGGTGTTAGACTCTTTCCTGGACAGGAATGACGAGGTTGCAATGTCAAGATGCTGAGGTCATGGCAGGTGGCAGCGTTCGTTCAGGAACCATAGTCACCACCAAGCCTGGCCTGGAGTGCTTGAGGGAGGGGAGAGAAGCTGCAGCCTTTTATATTTAATGCTCCAAAAATGTTAGCTTTCATAGGCTTCCAGAAGTCCTAGGAGATGGGGGCTCAGGAGCAAGGTGCGGCAGGACAAGGAGCAGAGAGCATAGGCAGGCGAGGAGGACAGCGACAGAGGTGGTTTCCAGGAGCTCTTTTGTTCTCGGTAGCTCCAGCATGACTCCTATTTTTAGCAACTGTCTCCTTTGGAGGAAAACATGCTGTGATTTATCTTCCTCCTGATGAGCACGTAGCTGCACTGCCTGCAAATCCTGGTTTCTTGGAAACAGCCAGAGATGAGAGAGTTGAATGCTTTGGCCTTCACAGGCTCAGATTTACCCACTATGGTAATCCAGTAATAATTTCTTCTCTGTACCTCTGGACAGCGGCAAGGATTATTCTGGGACAATCTGAGAGCAGACGTTATGAGCTCTGCTCCACAACAGCAGAAACTCTTGTGTTCAAGCAGCTGGAACACCTGAGAGGCAGAACACCGGTGCTGGCCTCTGTCACTCTGCCTCATTGCCTGAAACATGTTAATGTGCCTGGGATGCAGAGATGCTTTCAAAATCAACATCCCATGTAAGCTCACAACAAATTGGCTGCCAAAACTCAGCTTGGCAGGACAAACTTTCTCCGAGGAGCCATCACCTGGGAGACAGACACTCTGAGGGGGGTGGACTTACCTGCCAAGCTTCAAGGTCAGGAAACCAAGAAACACCAGCTGAAAGATCTGCAGCTCATCAAGAAAAGCCACTACATTCTGGACCACAGTAAATAAAAGTGACCTGAATACTGAAGAGGCATTGGTAACGCATCACAGGCATGCAGCTTCAGTTTAGCTGCTAACCTACCCTCAAGGAGAGAACCCCACATGGAGAATCATTCACACACATCTCCTGGGAAAGAGGAAGTCTGTAGAGCAAGGGGTGAAAGGGCAGTGGGGCCTGTGAAATATTCAGCACGAGCTACTACCCTAGCACCAGAGCCTCCGATTTATTTTGGAAGGTGCTTGCTACAGAGCTGTTTAGCTGTGAAGGGGATACACCATCTCCAACAACACAATTCCTCTGCAGAATCCGAGAGCAGAGGAAAAGTTCTGCAAAAAAGAAGGAAAAAAAAGAAAAAAGGACACCAGTCTCCTCAGAAAGCATGTGCTAATTACAGAGGCCTCTCTAGAGAGCACAGTGGGTACAAGTATAAGGAAAAGCTCTTAAATGGATTTTGGGACAAAGAAAGTGCATTGGTGCATAAAACTCGCTGTTCTTACTGTATTGACCCAGAGACACTACACAGCGCAGCGAGCTGGAACTCAGAACTTCCACCGGAAGGGAAATGTTGATGGGCTCCGCTTTGATTTCATTCCAGAGCAAAGATATTCTGGAACACTTCTCACTAGATGGAATTTCCGAATAAAAAAAGGGTTCTGGAGAATTTTCCAGTCATAATTTTGAAATGTTGCTTTGAATTTTGTTGGACATTCCTACCTTAGTTTCCAACATG